CCCAGAATTGCCTTTGGTCTCTGTCCCCACTCCCTCCAAGCAGTCCTGGGTGCTCCCCACCAGCCTTCTCTCTCATTAGGGTTTCTCTGACAACCTGAGGATTTACAGCGTGAAATGTTTCCATTTCCCTGACATGATGTCTCTGCTTCAAAGCGCTGGAGTCTGCCCTCTGGAGCCCAGGATGAAGGTGACTTCACGAGGGAGACAAATGAATCAAGGGGCTGACGCCCAGCCCTTCCTTTCCCCATCATACATCTGTTTATTATTGAACGGGGGCTTGCATGCTTCCATGATGAATTGCCTTCTCCTCTGCAACCTTGTCCCCAGACGGCTGGGAAGGCTGAAGTCTCTTCCAGGAGCATCTGCTTTTGATCTCTGCTCTTTTAAATCTTGGGTTAAAGTCTTAGGCTGATGGGCCTGCAAGGAAGCTTCAAGCGGCCAACAAGCTAGCCCCAGAGAGGGCATCTGGCTCTCCAGAGAGAGCCCACAGAGTTCCCTGCACAGGCTCATCGGCAGTGTCCTGGGCCCTGGAGGGCAGAGTGGGGGCTCAAGCCATTCTCCCTTCTGGGGCCTGGTGCTACCTGGACAGTGGTTAGGTCTGTGACCCCCTGTCAAATCACCTGCCGTTCTTCCTTCCTGTCCACTCTTCAGGTCTCCCCAGAGATGACATTTCTCTGGGAAAACTGCTCCTGACTACTTCCAAACCGGGCAGGAGAGCGACCAAGACCTGCTCACTGGTCCCACATTCTCCTCCTCAAGCACACAGCTTGATGGCCTTGTGGCATCCTTGGCAGGTGGACAAGGCCACACGAGTGATGCTGACCAATAGAACAAGAGACCACTTCCAAGACTGACCCCTAAAATCCTCCCCGGTGTCTCCTCCTACAGACGCTGGCTAGGTTTCTGCCCAAGAAAGGGCTTTTGTCCCCCTGGGTCCCTGAGTTTTCCCTGGCACACTAGGAATACCCACAAGGGGCCTGTGAAAGCACTGAAATTGGGCATTTTTTGCCACAAGCTGGTGTCATCTGAGGCATGTGGCTGCACTTCCTGGTTTTACTCAGCACCTTCTATGTCACTCCAATCTCTAGAGTAAGCTGTATGATATCTGTCCCTGTCCCAGACAGGGAACACTCCAAGGAGAGAGGCTGGCTCTCTCCTTCCCCGCCGAGGATGTGGGGCTGACACAACGCTCTGCACACAGAAGGAACCAGTGAACAGCTATGGGGAACGGACTGGCTAGCAGCAGCAAATCGTCCTGAGACTCACCATACTTTTGAGTGTATGGCAGCTACCCAGCTGGGAAGTGTGGAGCTCTGCTTTAGAACATGGCTCTGCCATGCCACACAGAAGCCAAATATCCATGGTCTTTTTAAGCCATTTCTCCACGCCTTGAGTTTCCTCATTTGTCGGCTAAGACAGATAATATTCTCACCTTTCAGGGTTTGGGGGAAAGTAAAGGACAAAGTCAATGGAACTGTCAAGAACAGTGTGTGGACTGTGGGTGCTCACATCGTACCATTAACAGGTGCCAAGGTCAAGGGCTGATTCTCCCCAAAACAAACTGCGAAGGAGGTAAAGCCAGTGATATCAGGGGATGATCAAAATAAGATCCAGAGAGGTTTAGCTATCAGGTCAGACATGCTCAGCTGCTGAGACCCATTGGGAGGAACACTCCCTAGGTTTCTGCAACCCTGGACTGGGCATTTCCTATGGAACACCTTCCTTGCCCCTGAAGCATGGGTTCAGTGACCGGCTGGTATCCTGCTACTGGCAAGCTGGGCAGTCTCCAGCATCACATTTACCTTCTCTGAGTCTCAGGTTCTTTGGTTTCTAAAGGATGAGGACAATATTCACATCATAAGATTGCTGTGGAGATTAAATGAGCTAAAATTTAGGAATGTGTCTAACAGAGTATTTGATCTAGAGGAGTTGCCCACATATTCACTTTTTTGCCAAGAATATGTCTCTATTTTTAAAATTATATCCATACATGTACCAACTTCCCACAGGGAATGTAAACATGTACTATGCGTATGTACTAATAAACTAAAATGAAAAGAACTACAGAAAAAAAAGAAGAAACCTGAAAATTTTGGACAAAAACAATCTTCAAAAACAGAGGAAGAAGATGCATTTCTTGACTTGTTTTATGAGGTCACCACACATTAAATTGTTAGCTGTCCTTGTTCTGTGCACTTCCTACTACGTGGATGATGTTATGGTGCTGAATATATCTGGCTGAGCCTCTTTTACTCATCTGTGTTACATGCCCTGCATTCCTCATCAGCCTACCAAACAGTCAAAGCAAGCATGAATATTACTCTGCTTTAAGCGGAGTAGTTGTGGTAGTAGCATCAGTAGCTGTGCTTGAAAATGAGAAGTAATTGTAGCAGAGTTCAATCACAACGTCAGAAGTAGGGTGGCAATGGCAGCAGTGCTGTGATAGGATAGCAGCGAAGATGACTGATGCCTAGTATTACCCCAGATGTGGCAGTGGCAGTGGCTGGCACGGTCATGAAGGTGGCAACTACTGTAGGGATGGCACCCACAGTAGGGATGGCAGGCTGGTGAGGTACTGAGGTAGTCACTCTGCTCAAGCCACAGGGCCCCCCTTTCTGCAGTCCTGACCAACCATCTGTGGTGTTCCTTAGGTACAGGCAGTGAGAGGCCATTCCTTCAGGATCCCAGCCCTGAGGGGAGTCCAGGAATCCACAGGCAACTGCATGGAGTAAAGGTCGGCCAATCTGACACTCCAGGGCTCCATTCCACCAAATGTTTCTGCAAATGTTACCCAAACAGAACCTTCTCTGGAAGCCTTCAAGAATCTTCTAAGAAAAGTTAGTTACTCTTCCTTCTACTTTCCCTTAACACTCATTCAATAAATATTCATGGGGACCCTACTAATGGGCCCTGAAGAAGAACAAAATGGTGCCCAAGCTCAAAAAGGCCACCACTTTAAGAGGAATCTGACATGCACCTTTGTGACAAGAGGTAGGATGCTGCATCAGAGATGTTTACCTGGCCATTCTCAGCACAAGGTTGGTCCCATTCTTTTCTTGAACAGCAAGGAGCCTGGTGTTATATATCAGCCACTCAGTGGCTGGGTCTTCTTTGTCTAATATTGCTAGACCTCCTCATAAGAGGGGTAGGTTATAGTGGTAAAGAGTCACAGATGAATTCTAATCTTTCTTGGTACAGCCCTGGGCAAACTGCTTAATCTCTGCCTGGGGTTCTCAGCTGCAAAATGATAATCACAATGGTATATATTTTGCAGATCTGTTGTGAGAATTAAGTGAATTATTACTATAAGTGAAGTATTTACAGTGGTACTTATTGTATAGAGTAATGCTGTAGAACTGTTGTTAGGCATTGATCAAAGAGCAATGAGCCAAAGTCCCAGCTCTTGTGGAGCTTATGTTTTAGGAGAAAACCCCAACCTTCCCAAATAATCTGCTGTGCATCTACCCCGAGGATTAACTGTGCTCCTCCTTCAACCTGCTTATACTCTTGGCCTTTGTTCTTCCATTCTTTCTCAAATTCGAATGGTATTACTGAGTGCATAGAATACAGCGGGGCACTGACCTATACGTTGAGGATTCAGTAAACAGTCTTGGGTGGAAGTGTTGTGGACATGCATGGGAAGAGTGCCCAGGACTCTAAAACTGAAAGCTGAGCTGCCTTAGTTCACATTCTGGCTCTGACACTTAGTTGTGTAACCCTGGACAAGATACCGTACTTCTGTGTACATCAGGTTCTATTTCTCTATAATGAAGAAAGAATAGTGCTTGGTCTCTGGGTTTCAGCAAGTCAATCACAGAAAGTGCCTTGAACAGTGTGTAACACACCAGGTGTGCACAATAAGTTCTAGCTATTCTTACAGCAGTGAATCTGCTAAAACCCTGTCCTCACAGCAGTTACATCCAACAGTAAGTGCCACAAAGAACCACGGTGTGGGGTAGGGAATAGAATGCGACCAGGACGAGACGAGGCAGCCGGGAAGGCTTCTCTGAGGAGCTGAGATTCAAGCAGAGTACAGAATGAGTTTTTGACCACATGGGACCAAAATGTACAGCTGTCAGGGAACAAGGGCCCCAACGGTCCAGGAGCAGGCGAGAAGTGACTCTCAAGCATAATTACAGGTTCCCTACATGGCATGCCACTTTTACTTCTCCCTCCATCAGCCCCACAGACAGGGCAAAACAGTGGGGCAGGGCTCTCCAGGCTCCCTGTCACCACCCACATCACCTGTCCAGCTCAGAAGAGAAAGCTCTGGGACAGGCTGGACTACACAGAGCCTCACAGCCAGTGAGTTCAAGAGCAGGCTGCTTCATTACTGTGGTTTGTTACAGGTACTTTCCTAGCAGCTGACATGTCTGCTAAGAGTGCCAGGGGCCAGTGAGGCCTCAGAGGAGCAAGAGAAGAGGGGCCTCTGTAATCTCTCCAGAAAGGATAGCAAGATTTCAGGGTCTTGAGTCTAAATCCCAGGTCCACCACTTCTTTAATGTGAGTCACCAGAGCCATACTTCTCCACTTCAAGCCTCAATTTCCCATCTGAAAAGTGGGTGTAAAAATAATCTCTGTGCAACCGGCCTCAAGGAGTAGAGGGCTGGCCTACAATAATAAGAGTAACAATGTCTGCTCGCATCTGCCCCAAGTGTGAAAGACTCGTACAAACTTCAAAAGCCATCTGGACCAGATGATTATTTCTATATGCAAAGACTCTGGGTTCCAAGACCCTAAATCTAAATCCAGTCCTACCATCTGCTAGCTGTGTGTTGTTGGGGAGGTCATTGCTCATCTCTGATCCTGAATTCCAGCAGCTGTAATGTGGGCTTTGGGGGCTGTCATAATGATTAATGGAGAAATGCATTGGAAAGGGGTCTGCTGGGAGCCACCAAGAACCTCACATGTGTGAGTGGCTACTATGACTGCAGTAGCAGTTTGTCATTTAATAGCAGTTGGCAACCTTAGGCTTAAAGGGACTCTTCTCTTTCCCATAGGATACTGAGGTCCATCAGCTGTACCAACACAGTACAGCGCCTGCAGTATGTGGGCAATTCAAGCTGCTGTTTAGGAACTCGGTTCCAGATGGCTCTGACATCATGCTGGCTCAACAAGACCAGTGACCACTTTGCCCCTGCAGATGAGGGTGCCATGTGCTTGCAGGTAGGCCACCTTCTCAGACAAGCAGCTTCTGCAAGAAGGGAAGGTATCCTGTGGAGATACAGAGGGGCATGTCCTTCTAAGTTAGCAAATTCTTGGCACCTGGTAACACAAGGTCTGGTCTGTCTTTGGGTTCCTGGAACAGACCCTGAGATAAGGACTCAAGCTCAAGGGGCTAATCTGGGACAAGAGCAGGAACATGGGAGAGGAACTCAGACAGGGAAGGCAGAGAGCCCATGAGGAGTCCGTTAGGAAGCAAGTTGCCCGGATGTAGAGCAGGAGTGTGGTTCTCCTGGGAACTCCTTGAGCCCATGGAGCAGGTGAGCTTTGGGGTCTTCTCATGCTCAGGGAGAAGACAGCTGAGTTATTTGCCCACTCAGTCTCTCAGGGGGCACTGCTTTGAGGACTGTGCCCTGGGGCCTTAACTCTTCCAACACCTGCAGCCCAAGGCAACATCCAGCAAAGCTGCTTCCAGTGGATGGACAGCTCTCAAGCATGAAGTTCAGCTGGACTTCAGGGCAGAACATGTCAAGGTGAGAGAAAATGAGCAGTGCACACAAATTGTCCTTCTCTATGTCCTGTATGAGTGAACCATTGACACAGGTTATGTAACACAAAGAAATAAAGCTAGGACTGGAAGACTATTGGATCTACAGTGCCTTGCTAATTCAGCATTGTTTCAATGTAAAGACAAATTCAAGTTCCATTCAGTTTATTATTTGTGGCTTCCTTCTTAAATCTGTCCCTTTAAGAAACATTTTATTGATGTGTAACTTTCACTGGGAATGAGAAGAAGCCATAAGTTATAGCTGGATGATGATATGAAACCAGTACTCAGATTAAGAAATAGGACATTACCATCACCCAGAGAAAAGCCTCCTCTACCGGTGACCACTATCCTGACATCTAAAGCAACTGATCAGTTTTTTCCTGTTTTTAAACATTGCATGAGTATAATTGTACAGTGTGTACAATTTGGCTTTTTTAATAAAAACCCTCAATATTCTGTTAGCAATTCATGCACAGTATTGCACGTAACTGTGATTCATTTTAACATTCTGTTGTAAAAAATGAATCACAGTTACGTGCAATACTGTGCTTGAATTGCTTATTTATCCATTATGCTATTGATGGGCATTTAGGTGGTTTATATTTTTAGCCATTATGAATAGCCGTGTTAAGAATATTCTTGTATGTTCTTTAGTAAATATATGCAAGTTTTTTGGCACTCAGGACTGGAAATCCCAGGTGAGAGAGTATACTTGTGCTTGGCTAGGCAAGTCCTGTGTTTTCTAAAGCAGATGTGACCATTTGCACCCCACAGACAGCATGTGAGAGTCCCAGGCGAGGAAGACACAGTGAAAGAGGACATTTCCAGGAGGAGGATGAACAAGCCAGAAGCAAGGTCTGTGGGTGTGGGTGTGGGCCTGATGTGTCACTCATTCCCAAAGCATTCGGAACATCTTGTGGGTATGTGTTCTGCAACACGTGCTGAGGACACACATATGGTTCCGATGACGCTCCTGCCTGCAAGGGAACAGTCAGACATGACCACAAACCACCACGATACCAGGTAGCAGGAGCTCGGGAGAAAGAGCTCAGTAAATGCAGGACAGAAATGTAGCTGTTGCTCTCCTGCTTGCCCACCCACCACCTTGCTCTAGCTCTGGCTCCTGTATTATGAGGCATCTCAAGATGGATCTCAAAAGAACTGGGTGACACTCAGAGGCTTCAGGATAGAAATCAGCTTCTGCAGCCCTTCGTGCTCTCCAAGGATAGTGTGGTGGTTGGTGGGGCGTGTTGACTCCGCTGGCTTCGGGATCTACTGTGGGGGACTGGTGGAGGACACTTCTGGGTGGGCTGTGGAGACATGACTTTGGGGTCCACTTCTGGTCCCTGGCACCTTCCTCTCTGGTGCTGCTCCCCTGCCATTTCCTGGACACCAGGAACTGAGAAGCTTTTCTCTACCACTCCCTTCTGCCATGTTGTTTCTGTCTTAGAATTTGCCAGCCATAGACTGAATCTCCTTAAGATGAACCAAATGAAAACACTTCTCTTTGAATTGTAGCCATCAGCTATTGTGTCCAGCGATGGGAAAGCTGACTAATACAGATGGAGATTTACACTTGCCAGGGAAGTGCCCAGGAGGGGCCACCAGGAAGGCCGACTCGAATTCCTCGGAGTGGAGGATGAACTAGGGAGTGCAGGTGATCTCCCCAGTCCATTTGCCCCATGCTACCAGCTTGGAAGCACAGCCCACCACTGCCTGCTCACTGCAGTTCTGAGGAGCGTAGCCCGCACTGGGCCCACCATGTGACTGCTGAGCACACTGCGGGCTGCTCCGCTGAGCAAAGGGAGGCACACACATTTCCAAGTTCAACAACCTTGATGCCTGGCAGTGGTTGCCCTGGGACTGCCCAGCCCTGGACCCGCCCCCCACTCCCGTCACAGTTACAGAAAGGCTCCTTGTTGGGGAGAGGAGCTAGTAAGGCAACCTCCACCTCTCACTTCCCCAAGGACCAGGTGTTTTGCTCAGCAGCAAACCAGAGCCGTCCTGGAACCACCCCTGCTCAGACTTTGTCACCCCGTCCATCATCCTGGCTTGGCTGCAGGGTCTGAGGTGGTAGGAGACAGAGTTCACTCCTCATTTATTTTCAGCATGCCCCTCTGCGGTGGTTGGGTTAAGACTATTGGAATGACACCACCAAAAATCCCTTGAGTGACTCTCTGGGATGCTGGAGCCCCATGGGGTGGAGATTTCTGCAGATCCCACTGCTGAGGAAGGTGGGACAGAGATGGAGCTGGTGCAGATCCACCCTGCAGGCCTCCAGGCCCGCCTCCTCAGCCGGCATTTGCCTTTCTCCCAGGCCCTCTCACACTCCCACCTTTGGGATGTGTCCACCAACGAGGGGCCAAGGCTCCTGTGTGCCATGGCCCCAGATGGGAGGCCTCCTTCCAGTGACAGCTGTTGGGGGTACAGTGCCCAGCACTGGGCTGCACAGGCACACACTGTGCTCTCCAGCCCCCAACTCACAGGCTGTCCCTCCATCTGTCAAGTGCAATCTCTCCCGGGCTCCCACCGGCCCCTCCAAACAAGCTATCTTTATGAAATGCAATGACTGCCCTTCATATATTAAAATAACACCTCCCCAGGAAGGACCTCATGTCAGGGTTGCTGTACAAAGAAACATTCACAGCCTGGCAGAGGGAAACTGGTGGAGGCTTGGCCTGGGGCCCAGAGGGAAGAGAGCATGGGGAGCTCAGGGTTATAGACGGCAGGGTGAGTTAAGGAAGGCAATGATGAGGACTGCAAAGGCTCCAGGCTAACAAAGAAACTCTGGGTTCAATGAAGTGGTGAAGCCTACTTTACACTAATGGGGCAGGGCAGGGCAGGGCAGGGCAGGGCAGGGCAGGGCAGGGTAGGGCAGGGCAGGGCAGGGTAGGGTGCTGTCTGACTGTAACCCTGGGCAGGGTGTTTTCCAACTTAGTCCTCTATGCCATGGCCTGCACTGTCCAACCTCACTCTACAGTAAAAGCAGGGTCCCTGGGGAATCGGGGGGGAGGTCTCAGGTGCCAAGATCTGCTTCCAAAAGATGCCATAGTCTGTAGGGTAACTGATCTCCGACAGGCCTGGGGAATCTGGGCCTGCCAGCCTGTTCATGTCCTGCCCACTGGCTGAGTTCCCCCTCTCTGAGACACCTTCCTCTCAGCTTGGTGAAGACCATCTAGTTCAGGCCTTCTGGGGTTCTGACCCTGCCACTACTGCTTCTTGGCAGAAATTCCATCTCCGTTGTCATCAGTTTCCCCACCTGAAAAGTAGGGATCACAGCAACTGATTTAAGAGATTTGTCCTAAAGTTTAAAGAAAATAGCTCCAGTAAAAGTAGCTGCACACAGTAGGTACTCAGTGCTAACTTTCTTCCCTTACACTCTACCACATATCAGGGCTTTAAAAATAAGTGGAGACATTTAACCCAACTCCCAGAGCTCCCAGTCTAATTAATAAGGTTAAAAAGAATATTAAAAAAAAAAACAACAAAAAACATGTGACACTATCAACTTGGAAGGGGAAAGCACTAAGCAAAGCTTCTGAGGCTTCAGAACAGCACCAGAACAGATAGTTACCGAGTCACCATATACTGGGCACTATTTTAGGTCCTTGGGATATTTGGTTCACAGCAGACAAAATCCCTACTCTCTCAGGTTGGACAGTACATCGTATGCACTGGGAGCAGGAAAGACAACAAACAGAGACCACGCTGAGTAAATTATATAACGCGGAGGGAAGCGCATGGAAAAGGGGAAAGTGCTGCAGGAACAGGGGACTGAAGGCTGGGGCTGCCGTTTTACACAGCGTGGTCATTGAGTGCGTGACATTTGAATAAAGGCGTGCAGATAAAAAGTTGGTCCTATCACCTTCTCAGGGAAGCATGTCCAATTTGTAGGGAATAGCCAGAGCCAAGATCTTGAGGAAGACTCCGCCCGAACACATCCACCACACAGCAATGAAGCCAGTGTGTCTGGAGGAGGGAGGACAAGATCGGAGAGGAAGAGCGGGAGCAGCTGCTCACGTGCTGCCTCTTCGGCCACTGTGCAGTTACTTCCGAGGTAACATGGAAGGAGAAACCTGCGAAAAGGCCCCTGGTGGTGAAGGAGGAGTTCACTGAGCCAACAGCAGGGAAGCTCAGAGGTGTGTCCAGAAAATACGCTCCTCACAGCACCCTGACAGGGCTGGCAAGATGTGATGTTTTTGATGTAAATTGGTATGAGGTGAGTGCATCTGAGGAAGAGAAAAGCTCTTCTTTGAGGCAAGGTGAATCTACCAGATCTAATTCTGTAAGTATCACATATCACATTTCCTCTCAAGTGTACACCACATTTCTTCTCAAGTGTACCACCCCCTCTCCCCTCTCTCCCATGCTCTCCCTTCTCTCCTGCTCTCTTCCTCTCCCCCTCTGTTCTTCTCTCTCCATCTCTCTCCCTTTCCCTCTCTTCCTCTCTCCAACTACTGCTGCCAACTGACTCTGCCTCTCTCAATTTAACATGAGACTGACCATATCTTCTTCATAGGTTTGGCTACTGGTAAGAATTGAAATAACACTTGCAAACCATGGCACCCTCCACCTGCTATAAGAAAAAAAACTGAAATTGACTTTTACCCTAGAAGCTTTCCTTCACAATCTATGCTATCCAAGTTGACTGGATTATCAACCCCACAACACATGATAGGGTTGGCACACATCATATGCCCAAAATATTTTGTTGGATGAAAGAATGCATGAGCAAACAAAGGAAAGAGGGGATCATGTATAAAAGCACGCAGTCTCCCACCTTAGACGGAGTCATGGTGATGAATGTGCCCAAGGCAACTATCAGCTACAGTGCCAGAGCCCTGAGCACTAACGAGGACTAGAAAAACAAGCACACCTCCTCACTCCTACATGGCTTCCCCCGGTCTCAGAGCTCTGCCTGCTCTAGCCCTCCCTTTGATAAGTCATCACCCTCTCTCAGGTGCCATTAGGACACTGATGAGATGTGATTAGCCCTGATCTGGACCCATTTGACTGACCTGAGGAAGGCAGAGGTGTTCCCTTGAGGTAGAGAAAGAAAAACACAGAAAAAGAGAGCTTGGGAGCTGAGGCTGGGCTTAGGGTCAGGGAGGGGCATCATGGTCTGGAGGAGTTAAGTGCTCTGAAAGGCTGGCTCTGCAGTTAGAAAGAACCTTGCTGGTAACTTATGCTTTTACCCCTTTATTTACAATTCTGAAATCCAAAAGCTCTGAAGACCCACAGGTCATGGGTGACTTGACCTGAACCTATATAATGTCCTACATAGTCTCAATTGATCCCACTTTTCAAAAATTTTCATTTTTGTTGCACAAAAATTACTGTGTTTGATTACAAGTCCTGCTCCAGACCACCCCCCACAAACTGGAGTGGTAAATGATACATGGTTATGCATCATATTTTACTTTCTAATATCCAACACATTTTGAATTCTAATACTATATATAGTTTCAGTGTTTTTGATAAAGAAGTGCACATCTCCTCTATTCGACTGCAAACTTCTTTAAATTGTTTCTTCATTCAGTTGACTACTTGTTCACTCATTCTAAAAGTCATCCCTATTGTCACCATCTCCATTTATCCTAGTGTCTCTTTGAAGGTATTTGACTGACCTCAGGATGACAGAGGTTTGCCCAGAGGGACTCAGTCTTATGGATGGGCTCATCTTGCACACTCCTCAGCCACTATGTTCCTCAGTTGGTCCTGTTTTCATCTGACTTCACTCCAGGTTAGGAGAGACCCTGGGAGCTGAGGCCAGGGAAGAATCTTCTTTTGCTTGCCTTGCAGTGGGTCCCAGCAAGTCTCACGTCCTCAACGGTCTCCTACAGGCATGAAGAAGTCCCAGATAATGCTCTAAGGTGCTCATGCCCACCCAGGCGAGATCACCCTGAGTGGGATGTGGGGGAAATCACAGTGCAGAAGGGCAAGAAAGCCTTGAGATGTACTGAGACCTCTCTACTACACACAGTGCCGGTTACAGAAAACTGTTATCTAGAGGCTATCTGACATCCTGGTCTCCACCCATGCCTCTTGGAGCTGTGAGAGATATAATTTGTGATAACAAGGGAGACTAGGGAAGGCTTCCTGGAGGAGGTAATATTAGGGCATTTTGAAGAAAGAAAAAGGAATTTGCTAAGCCTGTGTGTAAGTGATGGTGTGTGTGTGTGTGTGTGTGTGTATTGGTGTGTGTGTGTATGGTGGGTAGATACAGTATTCCAAGGGAAGTCTGTGGGTGTAATGATGAGTACTGACTGGCAGATGGGGTGGTGCAGCCTCTTTACATTGCAGCTGTGAAGGACTATGTTTTCAGCTTCAGGCAGTCCAGTCTGAATGCAGCCTTCAGGTAGTTACCCCCAATCTCTGAGCCCCACGTAAGTACTACTGCCTCAGTCACAGAGTACCTCACTCAAAAGGCTTGGCCCTGCTGGAAGTGACCCACATCCAACGAGATCCACATCTAGCTGAGATCAAGGCACGTGTAAGAATGGCTTATATTGGTCAGTCTTCCTGTCACTGGGACAAAATACTTGACACTTCCAACTTAAAGGAGGAGAGGTTTATTTTGGCTCATGGTTTTAAGGGGTTGAGTCCATAGTTTTCTACCTACTGCCCAGCAAACAGTAAGGGCTTGGTGGAGGAAAGCTGCTCACCCTATGGCAGCCAAGAAGCACAGAGAAAGCAAAAAGAGCAAGAGATATACCCTGCAGCGACACAGCCCCAAGTGACCCACATCTTCCAACCAGGCCCTATTTTTTAATAGCACATTCAATTATAAACTCATCAGTGGGTTACTGCACTAATGAATATAGAACCCCATGATCCAGTTATCTTGTGAAATGTCTACATCTTAATACATGAGACTTTGGGAGGGCACTTTAGATCTAAACTATAACATGGCTACTTCCCACTGGAAAGCATCTAGCTTTGCCTTTCAGCTTAACTTCTCCTCGTGTTTTCTCCAATTGTCCTCCTCCCCAGCCCCAAGGGCCTTCCTAAAATACATATACATGCAACGGCCTTGTCTGCTTCCCGCTCCCTGCCCCCCACAAACTCACCTTTGACACAGAGAAGCGGGTGCATAAGGAGATTCCCTGCCTTTCAGATTTCAGGACCTGAGACAATGCTGTGAAGGGCAGCAGCCAAGCACAAGCTATGCCCCAGGCACTCTCCCAGACACCGCTCCCTTGCTCCTTAAAGGAATCTTCATGACTGCCTGAAGCCATTACACCTCCCTATTTTTCCTAGGTGAATAAGTGCAACCCTGGAGAGGTGCAGGTATTGGCAGATAATGCAGTCAGAAAGCGGCAGTGCCCGAAACTGATGGAAGTCTGATTCCAATGTCTAGCCTTGTATTCAAGGCTACTGCTGTCCCCATCTCTCCATTGGACAAAATCCTTGGGATCCCAGTGGACACTAAATGAAGGAAATAAAAACCTGTTTCACTCTCTTGTTGCTAGCTAAGCATGCAGACCAGGGCCAGAACAGAGGACAACCTGTATCCAAAAGTGGTATTCCATGCCTGCCCTGAGCCCGAGTCCCAGGTGTATATGAGAGTTTGTGTTCTGTGTGCACTGACAGAAAAGAATTTTTGTCTGGGTAAAATTAACAAACCATGACCCACAGAGTCATCCTGCTTTCTGAATCTGAACACCATCTTTTCAGAGAAAAAGAAAGCAGATCAGGGTGGGTGTGGGTGCCAAGGGGCGAGGAGATGGATTCAGCAGGGTTCTATTCAACCTTTTATCAGTCATCAAGCCCTCTGTCATTAGGATAGCTGTGCCCGTCTGTCCCATAACATTTACACACAATCATAAAAGGAAGGGTAATGATTGCAATTACAACTGAAGGGCTGGTTTAATGAATATTAAACAGCTTTGAACATCAAAGTGTTGACTGGAGTGGAAACCTAATACCTCTGCTCCCAGCCCCTTCCACCCTGAGAAAGGGCAAGGCAGATGGCCTGGCCTTCCACAGGGCTGTCAGAAGCAATCTGCAAGAGTCACCAAGTAGCACTTTGAACAAATCCTTCTGCCTGGGGGCCAGCCCAAGAAATAAAGGGATCTGTCATTATCTTCTCTGCAGCAATCAGCAGGGGAGAAGAGTCCATCTCACAGGGGAAGTGTGGAGCCCAGGAGGAGCAGACAGGGTCTGCCCCCAAGGCATCTGCTCATGTAGGATGGGAGAGGAGAAGGTCTTGTTCAACCGGCATGGCTCAGCAGCAGGGAAGATGGGCAGTGCCTCCTTGCCAGCCTCCTCTCACCTCCCAGTCCTGGCCAGACCCTTTTCTGGTTCTGTCTGCCCCCCCCCATTCTCAGCCTCCAGACATGGCTGCCATAGAATATTCTCCATTCTCCTAACTTCACACATTCACTTTGATGCTGTACGAGCGGAACAAGAAATGGCCTGTGTGCTCAAGTTCAGAGTCTAATGGCAGAGATGGACATAGAGACGGGTAGTACTGACACAGATCTGTAACAGCTGTGGAGGCCAATTCTCTGGGAAGAGAGGTTCTGGACAACAGGAAGGCACATTTAATGAGGTAGTTCTGAGTGCTCAAAGAACCCCACCATTAGTGAGGGAGAGAAAGATGGCAACAGCCTGTGGGACAAGAGTCTTGTGAATATCCAAGGAGGCCCACCTGCTCCTCAGCCAGTTTGTGAAAGCTTCAGAAATGAGGTGACCCTGGAATTGAGCAGGGAGGGGGAAGAAACAACCTGTGGAACAAGGAAGAGTAGGCCACTCTAGGAACAGGCAGCCACTCTACTCCTCTAAGCCTCCTTGTCCAGATTCACCTACCCACTGCCCAGCATGCTGTCACCTGGCCAGTTCCCCATGGCTGCCTTGGCGTTTGCTGTTCACGAGTTGCCGACAGTTTCCATCAAGCTTCCCATAGCAGCGCCTTCCTCTATTGGCTCTTCTTGGGTAGTGGACTAAAGGACAGGCACTATGCTTGTGGCTGTCTCTTAGGACACTTGGAATCAGACAGCCCTGGGGTTACTGAGGGAGCTTCCACTGATCCTCCAGAAGCTAAGCACTCAGGTAGGTGCCCGTCCTCTAAGCCAGGGCTACAGAACAGAGAGCCGCAGGAGTGACAGCCTCTGCTCCCCTGCTGACTGCTACTGCACAGATGGCAAACAGAGAGTGAGGAGAGAGCTGTAACCCCCTCCCTCCCCGGCAAGGTGAGCCTAGTCCCTGAAGGCATTTCTTGTCCCCAGCACTCTATACTTGAAAACCAGGGTTGGACAATTCTACTTCCTTTGATGGGGGAAATTCTAGAGTACAACTGTCACATGTGGTTGTAGTGTATCTGAAAGGTGGCAAATGAGACTCGGGGATAGAAGGTTAATTTTGTTTAACTTTGAATTTAAATGGCCACATGGGCTGGTGGCTAGCAAGGGCTAAGCATAAACTCATCCTGGTCTCCGAAAACTGTCAGATTTTTTCATGCCTCTGGCTTTGTTATACGCTATTCCTTCTGCCTCTACTACCACTCCCCTCTTCTCTTTGCTTTTACTCTGCAGCTCATGATTCATCTCCTCGCGAGAGCCTGGTCTGGGCTGAGTGCAGTGCTCTTCCTACCTTCCACTGACTTGGGGCTTCCTCTGGTCACAGAAGCTCGTGAAGTGTGGCCTCTGTGTGTACCTTACAATTTCTAGACAGGTGATGTCTGCCTGGGGCACCTCAGATGGGGTGTGTCACACTGCCTGGGGGTTCCTGCACACCCCTACCCCCAGGGTCTGCATACCCGCACACTTGGAAGCTTCTGCACACCCCTACCCCTGCTTATCTAGAGATCCAGTTGTGCCTCTCCTCCCTGGCTAAGACTTGGGGTCTTGGTGACGCAGCTATGACAAACTAGGCAGGCAAAAGGATTAGGAATCATTTCTGCAGCGGGGGCTTCTTTGGGAGGGAAAGAGTTGTGTTTGCCTCTGGGTCTCCAGTGCCTAGCACAGGGCCAGGGTTGGGTGAGGGTTTTGTGAGGAGGAAAAAAGGAAGCCCCAGAAACTTCCTGGAGTGAAGTCTGGGCTTGAATAATGGGCAGAGAATCCAGTGTTAAAGCCCCCTTCACAGAGGGTTTTCTAGGGTGCCCTGGCCCGGGACAGTTAGCATCTGGAATGGGATGGGGCTCTGAGTGGTCTGCAGGCAGATCCAGGGAGTTCCTGCCCCAAATCCCCCAGGGCTGCACATGCCTCTCATTACCATAAATGAAAATGGCTGCTAAGTCCTGCATTAGGCTAAAAACTTAACACCCAGTAAACATTTATTGATCACGTGTAACCCCGATTAACCCCCGGAGCACTGAAGGCTCTGCCATCCCAGGCTACAGGATCTGCCTGCCTCTCGGGGTCAGGTTGGGCATCTTTGGGCCTATTTTGGCTGGGGCTTGGAGGACTAAGTGTGACAACCCCACGCCAGGCAGCAGAAATGCATCAGTGCCTTGCATCAACAGGTGTCCTCAGCCACCTTGCCTGGGCTTCTAGTGGCGGTACCCCTGCTTTAGATGGGAAAGCCACGTCTCACATCCTTATGCCTGCTGCCCTGTGTAGACCCTCTCACTTTTCTTTTTTCCTCTCTGCATGTCTCTGTGTGTGTGTGTCCCCCTCACCTCCCACCTCCCTCCCATTTGACACCTGCTGGATATCAAGTGCTACCTGGAATTCTAACAGCTCCCCTGCACCTGCCGTCATTAGAGACAGTCACTCTGAGGTCACCCTGGGCTTGAGGTCATCACGACACTGCTGCCATCTCTCAGTTTGCTGTGCTCAATAATAGACAGTGGCTCAGAAAATGGCACAAATGTGCCCAATGTCACACAATGGGCTGGCAGTGCTGATTTCCTGACCCAGTACACAATGCTCCCACGCCCATGCTCCACCTGTGGCCCCATTAAGGGAAAACAGAAACAGCTGCACTGTATGGTGAGCGCTCTGAAAGACCCATCAAAGGAGTGCCCACTGAGTCTTGGTAACAATACTCTGGGATGGGCACTATCACTTCCCCGTCTTATGGATGAAGACGCCTAGGCTCAGAGAAGTTAAGGAACTCGCTAGTGGACAACAGCAAATACATGTCAGAGCTGGACTCACCCCAAGATGTCCAACATGAGCTCTGTGGCAAGGTAACGCCTTTCTGAGAACCCAGGAATTCTAATCCCACGGAGCTTGTCTTTCCTCCCTACGTCTCATCTCCTTCTCTCCTGATAGGGTCTGAGTGTGGCAGGGCTCTACCAAGCCTCTCCAGGGGTCCCACTGATTCCTTACACTCTGGCTACGCTGCAGCCCCACTTGGTAGCAGCCTCGCTGAGAGCTGTCAGCCAGCTGTCAGCCACACCGCGGGAAAAGTGGGATTTCTCCACAGCTGCCCCAGCAGTTCAAAGGAACAGGGGCCCAGAATCTTGGCTAGGATGGCCTGTATTATGACAGGTCCGGGAACCTTAAAAGCAAAAGACAGCTTAATAATGCAGCAAAGAAAACACAAATCCCTTGGCCTGGCTCTTGAGGGCAGCCAAGAGCTTAATGGGGGGACCTGCTAATGCCAGCCCCTGGTGCTGTCCGTCCCCCGCTGGCAACAGGCATGATGTGCCCTAGGAAAACACAGTCCTCGCCCAGCTTCAGGTCTTTCCATGGACAATTACAGCCCGGCCCCTGGAAGTCTCCCGCCTGCTCAAGATGGGCAGCCCCTGCGATCACCAGCGGGGTGCTGGTGGGGGGCGGGGGAGTCTGGCTCCAGTAATGCACATGTTCCAGGCACAAAAGTGCAGCTGTTTGGGCAGGGGTGCTCCAACCTCCAGCAGCTAGGACTGCGGGCTGGGCTGCTTTGGCAAATACACTTTAGCGCTCATTAGAAACACTTTATTTCATGACCGGGGATTTGTTCATTCACTGGAGTGGGGTGGGGGGCTACTAACAGGGCTTTTTACAGGAAAGTCATGGTCACTGGATTTGATTTTCTAGCTCTCCCAGAGTCACTGAATAGAGGAGATGTTAAACTCTGAACAGGAAACATACGGGTTAAGTATCTCTTATCTGAAATGCTTGGGAACGGAAGTGTTTGGGATTTTGACTTTTTAAGATTTTGGAATATATGCTTGTACACAATGAGGTGTCTTGGGGAATGAAACCCAAGTCAAAAACTGAAATTTATATGTTGCAGATATACCTTATTATATGCATATTCTGGTGGAGATTTTATGTATTTTAAATAATTTCTGTATGAAACAAGTGCCATGATGTATAATGTGGCCTCATGTCAGTGATCAAAAGTTTCACATTTGGAGTATTTCAGATTTTCAGATTAGGGATACTCATGCCTGGAGGCATACATCTGTAATCCCAGCTACTTTGGAGGCTGAGGGAGAAGGATCACAAATTCTCGAGTTCAACCCAGGCAATTGAGTGAGACCCTCTCTCTTAAAAAAAAAAGATTGGGAGTGCAACCCAGTGCTCCTTGGGTTCAAGCTCCACTGTAAGGGTTGGGGACACTCCACTCATAATAGTAAATAATAATGCTTATCCTGTGACATACACCCAACAAAAATCTTTCATATTTCCTGTTTTCCTTTCATATAAGAGATGAAGAACCTGAGGCTCACACATGAATCAGGGCTGCAGAGTTTTCTGTAAATGTGGAGGAGAGCTGGGATTTGAACCTGATTTGTCCACTTTTGGACCTGGTGATTTCTCCATTACACCATACATGGGGGAGAAGCCAGTTTCCTGAGCTACCACAAGATTCCAGGCCCCAGAGGCCATAAGAATAGCAGAGAGGAAGGAGTTCTTGTTCTAGAAACCAAACTGGTAGGAAGGCTCTCTAGGATGCTTTATGTCACCTGTTTCCTTGCTGTAGAATTACGGATCGAGAGAACTGTGCTTCTATGGTCCTCTACAAAAGGATCAAGGTTCAGTGGGGGTGTAATGTCTTTGCCCCCACCTGACAAGGCAAATCAGGGTACCTTTCTGTGTGGGATGAGGAAAGAGGGACTAGTTAAAGGTTTTGATTCTTCTCTCCCTCTACATTTTTTGGATTTGTTTTCCCTTTCATTAGAATGTAACCTGATAAGTGTTCTCTCCCATGAAACTGTGGAAACTAGGGAATGATCTAAATGTGCTCTGTGGCCACTAAAAATGATACCATGAGTATATATTTACTGGAGTGGAAAGATGTTCATGACATATGGTGAATTGAATACAGAAGGTTTCCGAATAGTATGTCCTATAATGATCCTGCTTTCATGAATATGTATTCATCTATATGCACACATACAGGGAGACACAGATTTGCATAGGGAAATGCCTAGAAACATATACATCAAATGTTAGTAGTGGTTTTCCCACCAGATGGGGGAATTTTATAATCTGTTGTTTATGCCTTTGATAATGATTATATACTATATAATAAAACATACTAGTACGGTTTGCTTTTGAAGAGAGGGAAAAAGAAACATTTTTGCAGTTAAATCAGTGATTGGTGAACTTATGCAAATCATGAGCTCCTCTGAGCCTCGGCTTTCTCATCTGTAAAGTAGGGGTCCCACCCCAGGTGGGAGGCTTGGACAGACCACACAGAAGAGCCAGGTATCCAGGGAGCTGCATTTCAGTGTCTTGTGCCTCGCCCTTCCTCTCCTTTTGTGTCTGTCCCACCTCCTCCATCCTCCTTTCTTCCTTGCCCATCCTGCAGCTCTTTCTGCCCCAGTCCTTTCTGCACCTGTCTTCAACCCACAGTGACCAAGAAGCCAGCTTCTCCCAGGTACACATTCCCACAGTTGTCTCAGTGGGACAGCAGCAGGCCCTGAGGGACCCCAGGATCCTAGCTTCACTACATCAGATGGTTTAGGGAGAAGGAGGTTCCAGCATTCTAGAGCAGCTGCCTCTTGGGGCCCTCCTGCAGGCCTCGCTCTGCAGGGTGGCCCCCCTTGGACAGCTCTGTCTGAACTTCAGCCTTCAGAAAATGGACCAGACTTCCTTGATTGAGCTGCAGTGCACAAATCCAGGCTGGGCGAGAAGGGCCAGACACAGGGAGCTCTTTTCCTTTATCTCCTGCTGCACCCTCAATCCGACTTTCCAATCTCATGAGGGGCCCGCACCACTTCACCTTTGCTCCTGCCTTCCTTCTGGGTGTGTCTCACTGACAATGGATGTCTATTAAATTCACAGGTGTACATGTTATAACCCTCACTCTAATTGTGGGAACGTGGGGAAACCAAGGTGTAGAGGTTAAGTAACCTCTCCAAGGTCAAAGGCTCCAACCTCTCCTCTAGGGCTGCCATCCCAGAAACAGAGCCTCTCTGGAAGGCCTTTCCTGACCTGACTCCCCAGCCAGGGCCAGTGTCTCCTCCTCTCAGCCCCCGCAGCTCTGTCTGTCCGGAATGGTTTGGGTTTATTTACACAACTGAAACAGTAGTAATTAATAAGATTATAGGGTGGCATGGGAAGTAATGAGTATCCTATCAGTCAAAGAGAACAAGAATGAGTTAGTGACCCTCAGATACAGAGGCCTGTGGTGGGATTGCACATGGGTGGTTGCCTTCACCCCCTCCAGAGTCCAAGAGTCTGCTCGAAGGCCCAGACCCCGGAGCAGTAAAACAGCACGGTATGTGGCAAAGCATAGCGCTGCACGCTGTGCCATGTCTTTCCTCTCTCTGACCCAGGATCCCCATCCATAAAACAGGGACAAACCACCTAAGGCGTATGGCACACATTGTCCTTTCACCGTAATACCCGTTCTCTCCTTTTCAGAAGTCACGCCCCCTGGCCATTTTGAGCCGGACACACGGACACCTGCAAGAGATTCCATTTCCCAGTCTCCCTGGTAGTAAAAGTACCAAGTAACTGAGGTGCTGTCAGAGGGATGTGGGCAGAACTGACAGGTCTGTCTCTGTGCTCTTTCTCCTTGCCCACGTCTGAGATGCTGATGGCTGGAGTGTTGAGCTGCGTTGAGTGCAGACAATGCCCAATGGCAGCACAGTGCCTGCCCCAGGCAGTAATTTTACATGAGAGGACAAAGGTGTAATAAAAAAATACAGTGAATGGTTAATTAAAAAAATAATTTTTTCTAGTAAAAGACACATTGGTATCGATCCCCTCAAATATTCTCCTTTATTTCAGACACATCCACCACATCATTGCTACTTTCTGCATAAGCACCGCATGCTAACCGATGCACCCCTGCAGCTTCTCTTGCCACTTTCTGAGGCAGTTCTGGAAGTCTTTTTTGTCTCTAGTTGTGCTGTCCTGGTTACCTTGATGTCCTGAAACATTTACCTTTCAGGGTCATTTTGACTTTGGGGCAGAGCCAGAAGTTGCACAGTGCCAGATCTACTGAATAAGGTGGATGAGGACACATCGTAATATTTTTACAGCCTGCCTTGCTGTTGGATGGCACTCAGCAGCAGGATTCATCATATTTCTGGTCACACTTCATAAAGACACTCGTGCAAGATGACTTTAAGGACTGTGTCTGAAAGTGGTGAGAACAATGGGACAAGTGTACTCAAAGTAAGGGGAGTATTTTGAGTAGGATTCATGGTAATGTGTCTTTTACTGTAATAAGCTTTTAAAATGTAAACATTCACTGTATATTATGATCACCCTACTCGTAGGTAAAGCACCTCTACTTATAGGTTGAATAAACATCCTTCTAATAGGCTTATAAGGTTTTTGTGAAGGTCAGATTTTTTTTTTGTTTTACTAAAGTGACCTTTGGATCCCCCTCTATGTGGGCCAGGGAAGACACCATACCCACCAAGAGAAGTCTCCTCAGAAACTGCCAGGTAAGTACCAGTTACAACTTTCCCCCAGGCATTTCCTATCATAGAATCAGCCAGACATGATAGAAATGATAAAAAGGCACAGACCTGAGGCACCAAGTATCTTTTCTTCTTAGGAAAAATATAAACCAAAGAATTCCTGAATCACCACAGCTGTTAGCCTTGCTCAGGACAATGCCTTGTCCCCTACCTAAGCAAACTATTTTGCAAACACTGCCCACACGTGGACAAGGCCCTGGACATGGATCCCACATGATGCCCGTCCCAGGAAGAGCTCATGGCCTCTTGTGAGTGCCTTGTGTGCTGGACACAAAGCCACAGCTTTTGAGGACAGGCTTGACATCCTCTTTCTCTGCCTTGTCTCTGTCCAACAGGACCAGCTACATAATCTGCGAGATCCGGAGAAATAGGACCAGGAGGAGCCCCTTGTTTCTAAACTATGAAAAATTTCAAAATGGTGACAGCATGCATGGAAATAAGCTTAGGGCCGTATAGGCTGCTTGGCTTTTAGGACGAGGAAGCCGGCCCCGGCCACGGCATGGCCCGAGCTCTGGTGGCACATAGTAAGCATTCATGGGGCAAATGTTTGCTGGAGATCTGATGGTGCACACGACCCCCAGGTGCTCTGGCTTCACCATCAAAGCAGCTGAGATGGACGTGGTTTTCTTTTCCTTTTCCTTTTCCCAGGCCCACTTCTTAACATCTCTTGGAGGAGAGCCCTGAGAGAGGCATGGGATCAGAGGGCAGAGGTCACCCAGAAAACAGGCTTCCCTGAATGAACAAGTGGGCAGGAGCAAGCACCAGGCATCGCTGAGCCATTCGCCTTATTTCTTGCCACAAGATATAAACTAATCTATTTAGTTAGAAAAACATGGTTTATTGCAATCTAAGTAATTTGTATTTCTTTTTCTACCACAAGATGTAAACTAATCTAGTTAGCTAGAGCAAGTTGGTTTAACTGAATTCAGAGTAATTACCCTCCAAAGCAAAGCGATGTGTGTGTTTTTTTGGTTTGCTGAGCTTTTTTCTTTTCTTTTTTTTTTTCCCTTTCCAACATTCAAAGGTTAAGACATATATGTGCTTATGATTTAAATAAAACCCAGCCGTCTTTTGGTTTGCCGGGGCCTTGGCCTTACTGGAGGGTCTTAGCCTCTATCACTGCCACCTGGGATTTCCCGAAAATGTGCTGGGGGTGGCATGGAAAATGTAGTATGCGATCTGGTGGAAAAACAATTTGTAACAACATTTCCTGGAGCAGTGGAGCACCAACTCATTGGGAGGGTATTTACCATAAGCCGGTGGAGCTAAACGAGGGCAGCCCTAGGGCTGAGGGGACACGGAGCCTCGTCTTGGTCACTGTAGGCTAGGGGCCTCCAAGGTGGCCTGTGTGTGTGTGCCCAACCTTGCATAAAACTGGAAATGCTCTTCTCAGACCCAACAGGCCCCGTATCCTGGGGCCTGCTCACACTTCCCAGCCATTTCTGTCCCCATGGGACAAGGGAGAAACTGAATCTTGGAGGACAAAATCAGAAGCCTGTGGCTTGAGGCTAAAGGGCAACCTAGAACCCCAGAATTCCCAATCCCAGAATCCCACATCCCTCCCCATGGCATGGCCTGAGCTCTGGCAGCACACAGTAGGCATTCGTGGGTAAATGTTTGCTGGAGTGAATGGGATCCCATGGCACACACAGCCAGAAAACCCTATACTCCTGCGGCAGGCTGATTAGTTCTGTGTCTGGGCAGCCCCTGATTATGAGAAAGCTCTTCTTCACTTCACCATGCCGGGTTTAGCAACTGAATAAAAGAGTCAAGTTGGAACCCAGCCCAGCCTGGCCCCACAATCTGGGTAATTTCTGCCATGTGGCCACCTGCCTTCAGGAAACTGCAGAACTGCTGACTCTTTTGCAGCTTCCAGAATTTTTGTAACCTTCCAGTGGTCGCAAACACACCATTGGCAGGACTTGGATAATGAAATGGGGACAAAACATCCTGCTCTGAAAGAAACTCTGGTAGCTGGCAGGTGAGCCTGACCCCAGCCTATATTCCTAACAGCCAGGCCGGGCATCATCATTTTCTTCCTTAGCAATGGCCTTGGTAAAATGACCTGAGCCCAGTGCTCCCAAGGCTGGAGGCAGCCCCACAAAAGCAAGCGAGAAGCAGGAGAAGGAGTGCTGACCTGAAACCTCTCCCAAACACAAATGTTTTGTTAAGATCCCCTGGACACACACACACCTCTGCTCTTTCTCAGCCTCTTGTCCTGATGGTCAGGACATACTCACTGTGAAGCAGAAGGGACTTCCTGGAGTGGTTAGGGAGCCAGGCGCAAGGTGATGGAATGTTGAATTAATGAAGATAGGGCTAGAGCCAGCTCTTGCACCCGCAGCAGTTTCAGCAGCAATGTGCAATAGGATAATCGAACTCAGAGGTGAGCACTGGTATGTAAGAAGCCTACTCCAGTACAAAGAGGACTGCTCCGGAACCCACCAGGCCTCTGTCCCTCCAAAGCCAACCCTTCAGGATATTTGACCTGGCCTCTCTATAGTGAGAAAGAGCCAATCCATGGGCACTGTTTAGAAGCCTTGAGTCAACAGAACGGGACTAGGCCCTGGGTAGATGCATGGAAGTGGAGCTGCCCTTCTAGTAAGGGCTGTGGTGCAGGCAGAACTTGCCTGAGCTCCTCATTATGTATCAAAAAGGCACTGGCTGGGCCCAGACCTTACTAGGCTCTTGGCTGGATGCTGGAGGTTGGGGTGAACCAGGCAGGCCTGGTCCTCTATGTCCAGTGCCCTGGTATAGACCTGTCTGGACGTTGGCCCTGTCTCCAGCAGTTCAGTGAGGACACACAGTTCAAACGGATATACAGCCACTACAGAACAGCGCGACAAATGCCACTGAGGGGATGCAAGTAGCAGGGGACAGGAGCACAGATGCCTAGGACAGACAGGGCTTCTTCACTGTTGTTTTCCAAGTACTTGGAACAGCGCCTGGCATGTAGTAGGTTCTCAGTAAGCACCTCTTGTCACTACCAGGACTGACAGTAACTGCAGTGAGATAACTGGGGACAGGCATTCCAGGCAGAAGGAACACTGTGCACAAAAGTTGAAAGATACAAAAGAGAGCGTGACCTGGGCAAAGACCAGAAGCAACCCCCTTGGAATTTAGCTTCAAGAGGTCAAGAAAGGGGTGTGGAGGTCATATACTCCTCTTGAAGGCCCCTGAAAACTGAAAAGCCCCCTCCAAGCTCACACGGTGTCAGGAATGGTCCTGGCACTGGGGTCTGGGGGCTTACGCTGAACACATGCATGTTTAACGCAGGCCACGCGCAGGCTCATTCCACTCACACACGCATAAGCTGCCTCACCACTCGCCCCACAGCCAGTTCGGAAAGTCATCACTGAGCAATGCTGCAGATGAGCAGAATGAGCTTCCAAGAGGGAAAATAAGGTGCTGCAGCTCACACAGCTTATAAGGATGGAGAGTACCCAATGCTTTCACTCCCTGGAGCTGAGCTGACGAATGAGACGGTGGGATGGGAGCAGGGGACAAGTCTCTGTCTGTGTCCAGCTGCCAAAATAGAACCAGAGCACCCTGGCTGCTCTGGCTTGGAGCTGTGTGTGGGGGGGCAGTCAGTCTCCTGTGACAGCGGCGTGAGGCGGTTACTGCGCCTGGGCTGGACCCTGGGAGCTGAACACGCAGGGTGAGCCCTGTCCTACCCCACCCCTCCCTTGCCTTACAGGCAGGGACCCCATGCTGCTATGGCTGACAGGTTGCTTAGGGTCACCTGTTTTTCACTGCAGGTCCCTGCGGCTCTCTGGCAGGAGTAGTGTTTGTTTTCTGCAGGGTGCAGAGCAGAAGAGGAAAGCCATTTCTGCAGGTCTGCAAGAACCTCAGGTTGCTGAAGAGGCCGAAGGGATCCCTAAAGTAAACCCCAGCTGAGAAGGCAGGTGCTCTACAGTGGCAGATGCTGGACGGGTCACTGCTCCTCGCCCCCCAACTAGCTGAGGGACTGCAGATTTCCAGGGAAATGCATAAGTGGCATCGGGAGAGAGAAACTCCTGGGGCCAGGCCCTTGAAGAACCTTTTCTCCCACCCTGTCTCACTGCCTCCCCTTTGCACACATTCCTTCATGTGTTCCTTCATCACCCACTACACATTCCAACTATAAAGCATCCACTTCCGCTGGGCGCCCTGGAGTCCCAGAGCTGGGTCAAACATGCCCTTGGTGCCAAAGGGCTTCTAGTCTGCAGGGGCCTCAGGGAAAGGGACAGACCAGCTGTGTGATGAGTGCTATAAAAGAATGCGGGCAGTAGCCGGGGCTGGGTGCGAGGGGATGACTCCAGGAGACCAGGTCAGCTGAGGAGGAGGAGGAGGCACACTGTGCAGTCTCAGAGGTCACGTACAGGTGGAAGAGGAGGAAATGCCACTCATGCAGGGCAAGGGAAAGGAAGGCGTAAATGCTGCATGTGAGCTGACCAGCAAGAATTCCACGTGGCTGGAGGAGAGGGTGTGGGGAAGACAGGGTCAGGTGGGGGCTTTTTGTCCCCTTCCAATGGCCTCCCGTTTGTCCTCTTCTCTTCTCTTGTTCAAATCCTCTTTTTTCTTCTGTTACCTCTTGTTTTTCTTCTCATTCTCCCTGTTCAACATCCTCTCAATCTCTACCCCAGCTGTGGTCATAAGGGGTACAATCCGGAAAGTTCCTGCTCTCTCTGGCACCAGCTAAAGCACTGTACACTCAAATCGGTGCTATGAAGAAGGCGTGCTTTTCTCATTTTATAGACCAGTAAATGGCTCCGAGAGGCCAACCCAGGTGACCAGGGTCACCCACAGCCTTAGCAGAGCAGGCACGGGTGGTGTCTAAAACAAAGAGCCTGTGTCAGGTATCACAGACTGAGTCTAGCTCAGGGACCACTGAGGTGAGAAGACAGCTTGTGCAGGGCCAAGGGCAGGTAGAGCAGATAGGGCAGGAATTCCAGAAACCATTAGCAGATGTGCCTACGATACAGGCTTCTCCTGTCGAGGCTGCTCTTCTGAGATTCTGGAGAATCCACTCTTTCTGTCTGGGCAGTGGGCATCAGGCAGCATGGGGAAAGAAGCTGCTGTCTCTATCATTCCTGCAACATTCTTCCAAGCTCCAAGGGGTCAGAGCTATCATCACCTTCTGGTCTATTCCGGGAAAACTTTGAGTTCCTGTTATGACCTATGCTTTGCATGTTGTCCACATGCATGTGCCACAGGGGAAGAGCTCAGTCAGCATGCCTGAGTTTGGTCCTGTTTCTTTTATAAAGAGCTGGTCTTTACCACTGCAAATTTTGTGGCATATACTGTCCTGTTTTGCTCTCACAGCAGATACGATTCCCATTTTGCAGGTGGAAGAACTGAGAGAATAAAGTAGCTCAACAGTCTACATACTCAGCTTTCAGAAATGGTAGTCAGAAAGCCCCTTTCTCTCTAGAGCCTTCTATGGCTCCTCGGAGTATCAGACATACACTGTATCTGATATCATGCTGCTTGCACAGCACAGGTTCATGTGTCTGTCTCCTGGGACTCGCATGCTTTGCTTGTCCAGATTCCCAGCACCTATCAGGAAGTCCTGCACTAGCAAGTACTTGACAGTTGTGAAGAAAGTGGGTGGATAATAAAACATTGGCCATCATATTTGGAGAACCAACCGTCTGTCAACAATGGGGACATGAAGAATGTGAGGGTTAGCTTCTAAACAGTTGTGCAAGTTTGATGCTCTTCGTCACATTTTACAGAGAAGAAAATAGCCTGCGAGGGGCCTGTCCATGTTGCAGAGCAGAAGATTCTGAATCCAGGTCTGTCTGACTCCAAACTCAGTGGCCTTAACTGCTGTCCTTTGCATTAAGAAATTCCTGTTGATTTTACTAAT